TTGCAGAGAGATCAGCGTCCCTGGTTACCAGCTAACCAGGGACACTGATCTCCAGACAGCAAACTCTCCCAGGCGCTCTGGGAGTCTCCCGCTCCCGGCCGTCCAGGAGAGAAACACTGCTTTTTCTTTTTTCTTTTCTTTATTCTGACACGGAGCAGTGTCAGAATAGTAAAAAAAAAATAATAATTTTTGACCATAGGATTGCATTGCTAGATTCGTATTGGCTATTGCAATTTGAATAGACAATAGTAAACTAGCATTGCACCCGCCCTCTGCTGATGGACCTGATGGAGAACTGCAGCAGAGGGCGGGTGCAATGCTAGTTTACTATTGGCTATTGCAAATTGAAATAACCAATAGGAATCTAGCAATGCAATCCTATGGGCAACAATATATATATATTTTTTTTTCTATTCTGACACGGCTCCATGTCAGAATAAAGCAAAAAAAAAGAAACAGCAGTGTTTCTCCCCTGGGCGGCCAGGAGCGGGAGACTCCCAGAGCGCCCGGGAGAGTTTTTTTTCTTTTTTTTTGACGGCAGCAGAACCGCGCCGGCCAATAGAGAACTGTTGGGCGGAGCTAGCTGTCATTGCTAGCTCCGCACAATCGTTTTTTTTTTCTGTTCTCCTCGGTCCCCCTGAGGGACCGAGCAGAACAGCCTATTCACTCACTGCTGTTCGGCATCTATAAGAATAGAACGAACAGCAGCGAGTAGCCTTCCGGAGGTTCGGCTTAGCCGATCCAGATCCAGCCGATCCAAATTCAGTCGAACTCCTCCTGCACTTCGGGTCGGCCGAACATGCTGAGCATATTCAGCCAACCCAAAGCCACGTGAAGCCACCCGATGTACGCCTGATTTCAGCCTATATACGGCTATTCACTTCAGCCGTACCAGCCTGAAGTGAATAGCCGAACAGCATTCGGCTCACTTCGCTTTAGGTCAGTGATTCACTCGGCTGCCTACGGCAGCTTAGTGAATAGACCCCAATGTGTTTTGCAGCATTTCCTGCATATGCTTTTGCCTGAAACATTGTAAAAAATAATCGTTGTCTTCTGGCAATATGGTCTGCTACATAAAAAAAGCAATATAAACTTATTCGTAGTGTGTTTTACTGCATTAAAACATACTGAGGAGAATTTATTTTGGATGCTTTGGAATTCGGAAATTCGCATGTGTCTGTCCGAATTTTGGAAAATTTGTCCAAATTTTTATTCGGGACGAAACGAATCATACAGGTCTAGACATGATGACTCTCTGGACCTTAGACTGCCAAAGGGGAGGGGGAGCGAGGTTGAAGGGGCCAGCCAGGATTGTGGTTTGGGTGAGTATATTTCTGCTATTTTAGCTACCTAGGCAAAATGAGCATTTAAACCTTGGAGTGTGGGGAGGCCCTGCTGCAAGGGTTAAGATTTTATTTGCCTGTAGTTCTTCTTTAAGTGTGAATAAGGCCTAAATGAACATAGGTGCATGGTAGCTGTCCTGCCTGTCTATACAAAATCTCATATACTATGATAGCTACATACCTGAAGAAGAGAGAAGCTGCTGTCAGCACACAACCCTGGAGAGGGGCCTGAGAAGCAAGTACCCAGCCATGGCAAGAAGCGACTCTTCAGTGTTTCCACACCTGCATACTGACCTCCTGGAAATGAAGAAATGACATGCCTTCGTATGTAGCTAATATGCCTGATTCTTCTCCATTACTTGCATTTTCTAAAGCTCATTTTTTATTTCTTATACTACTGTATAAAATGCTACTTTGTAAGTAATGTCCAAAAGCTACTTATTTATATATTAATGCAAGTATACTGCAACAAGTGTTCTAACTCGGTAAAAAGTGCTGACGATGTGAAAAGAGCAAAGAGATTTTAGATTACTGCAATCAGTTCAATTAGTGATTGGTAACTCTGGGTTATTGAAGTATTTGGATTGTCATTGTCATCTTCCCATCGTCTTATTGAATAATCAGATTCAATAATATACAATAGCTGAAGGCCTCTTACCTTCCCGGGCTGCTACGTTAAGAATTGTAAAGAGCTGACCCTGAATTTTGGAATTCAACTCAATAAGCTCACAGCACATGTTCAGATTGTGGTCGCATGAATTAATCTGTGAAGATAAAAAACAAAAGACAGATTCTAATGAGTATTAAGATTTACTTAATAGATCAGTGCATATTAAAACCTCAATTTTTTGTACACCAGACATCACATTAAATGATTGAAGTTCTATGCCGCACTCTTTACAGTAATTGTGGCCAACAAAAGGTGGTGCTTGTACCATGCAGAGAAATTACAAGTAGAAGAGAAGTCACCAGCACTCCATTGATGTGAAAAAATAAGCTCAGCTTTATTATAAATGCATCATGTTAGTAAATGATCCAGCATTTTGGAGGCCATGCAGGGTCCCTTCCTCAGGGTAACACTACAGTGGCTACAGTTACCCAGAAGAAGGGACCCTGTGTGGTCCCGAAACGTTGGCTTATTTACTAATGTGATGCATTGTGAATAAATTAGAACTGTTTATTTTTACATCCATTGAGTGCTGGTGACTTCTCTTCTACATAGCACAGTAAATGATTTTGCATTTATAAAAATGTATTGCACGCTTATTAAAAAATATTCTTTATTAAAACCAGATTTTTAAAAACGAGGCTTTTTCAATGTTATTATATATTTAAAACACTCCAGTATGTGTACTGAAAAAACCTACTCAGGGGTATATTTTTAAATGATTTAGTGGGAAATTTGTCCCAAAATTATTTGGGCAACATTTGCACCACATATAAACAACAACATTCATCACGTGGAAATTACATTCTCTGACATTCATCAAAATCTGTTCTTAAGAGAATGGCTTTACTTTAACATTTACCATATTTTTTAAAAAGGGTGAATGTTATATCCGTGCACATTTACCTGACTTTACTTTAGCCTGTTTGTAAATAAGATTTGTCTAGTAGAGCTGTTGAATCATTGCATTTTGTACTGATGATGTAATGAGTTTCTGTGGCGAGTGCTGAACCTGTGCCTCCAATGCCCTGTTTTGAGGGGGGTGTTATCAGAAAATGGGGGTCACCCTCCTAAAGCACCAATGCCCAATGCCATTGAGCACCAGGATCTTCAGCACCCTTGGTTTCTACTAATATGCACCTCCATCCACCAATGTCTAAGAGTGTCCTGCAGTGAGTTCCTCATAAGGTCACTAGCAGCATTTCCTTCACAGAAGAAGCACAACAATGTCCCCCTCTTTTCTCAAAATAACATTTTTAATTATATTGGGACTCTGGGTAGGGCACATGACAGTACATATTTTGGTTTGGAATTTTGTAAAAGGGGCTATGGTCCTTCTCTGAAGAAAATGCAGCTATGGATCAGATGAGGGCTCCACTGTAAGACACACTCAAATGTTGCTGGAACCTGAATTAGTACAAAAATTAGTAAAAATGTGAACATTAAAATCTTTTATTCAACTTTGTGTGTGTGTGTGT